CAGAGGTATTTCAGGCATTTTAGAATTAGGTCTATAAAAAACAGTTACATGTATCCTGTACTAAACATGGAGCACAGGTGTGCCTTAAAATCCCCCTCTGGAAGTCACTCAAATTACATGAAAAATCAGCGCTGGATGATCTACGTACCCTCTAGTAGTAAGTTAAACTTTCAACACATATGTAAAATGGATTTATACAGACCTTGTATCCTAGTTCTTTTGTCTTTTCTTCCAGCATAGCATATTTCTCTTTGTTTCTGTTCAGATGATCCTTATCTCCAGTTCCTTCTACATGCTTCAGTTTCTGGTGTGAAATCTCTAATTGTTTCTGATAATGATGGTGTTTTTCAATTTTTGCTTCAAAGTGCTTCAGCTCCTCCTAAGATAACAAATAATACACACAGCTTCACAGGATTTTCTTTCCAAGGCTCCCTCTCTCTTTTCTTGCCAAGACATCCTTAATGCCATTTTACTAAGTCAAGCACAGAAAGCTTTTTCAGTTCCCTGCTTCTTAAGAATGTCTGGACAATACATTATCATCACCACCCAGACACCCAATTTCGAAGGCAGGTGATGAAAACGACCCACTGCAGAATCCTCAAAAGGAGACTGCTGATGGGTGCGAGGTGCTCGGAGACGATAGCAGTGAGTACCAAATAGAAGTTTGTACATAAGAATAGTGGACTGCGGGGAGGGAAACACAATTTTTAAGAGAAGCCTCTTTTTAAAAATCAGGTCCTGGATTTGCCATTTTCTTCTCAGCTGTAAATGTTTTCTGGGTTTGCAGTCTGCTATGATGAATCTGAAATAGGATGAATTAATTAACAAACAAAAAACCCTCTTAGTTTGTCCAAAAGACATTGGCCAGACTAACTGTGGTGTTCAGGGACGTATCAGAGATGGTCCTCAGACAACCTGGTACACTGCAAGGGGGACCAAAGAATGAGTAATGTCTCTACCCACCAAAGCATGCTCTTGCTTTGCTACTTCAAGGCAGTAAATTTAGTTTCTCTGTGTCTTAGGACACGTCCTCTGTGAAGAGGATATGAACAATTCCAACTGTTATACCACTTATGGCAGCAGTTCTATGCATTACATCGAGAAAAACTCAAGACAAACCCTACAGTGAAATCCCCCTGTTTGACAGGGCCCACTTAATTTTGGTCACTGGTGTGCTTCAGTCCAGGTGGCTGACAAAATTCCTCTCATTTCAAGACAATTAAAAAAAAAAATCCATCATCCTAACAGATCTTCAGTTTTTAAAGCAGTTTTTGTTTTCAACATTTCTGACAAGAGAATAGTTTCCTTTTGCTGTAGAACATTCCAGTCTGTTTTACATACTCCGTTCATGACGTCAGCCTGGGATTTTACTGCTCTGATAAATCATTTTAGCTGCTCCTCTGAGATGATGTACCAGCAGAGCAGCACTCGTATCTTTCGTTATGAAACCCTTATGAAGGTTGGTACTGTGGCCACTCAGGAGAAGACACAACTTCAGCTGCTCAAAGAAGGCTGAATGGAATCAGCACATGATTTCTTTAATTCTGCTTTCATGAACTTTTTAAATAGGCAGATGTTTTGCTCTGATTCTTACTGTCTTACTTTTGTTAGGATGTCTCAACGTTCACAGTAACAAGACAGGTTTGGTTTGGTGAACAGGGTTTGCATGAATGAAGATTTCTACTAAAACAGTAAAATTAATAAGCGGGTATGTGTTCTTGCTTATGGAATTGTTTTTTCTTTTTCACTGCAGCTGATACGAAGGCCAAATTTACCTGTCATGCAATTGTACAGTGCTGACCAAAATGTCCCACTGAGGTCAGCAGAAGCCTTGTTGCAGACTTCAGCAAGCTTTCCTTTGACACTCTTACAAGCAGGGCCACTGAAATCAGTGTAATTAAAATGTTTGCTTCATAAGAGAATCGGGCTGCATGTGAGTTAAAAGAAATAAGATGGATCTTTGATATCGAAGAGAGACAGATTTCGATCCCTGTCCAAGGAAGTCAAAACTCTCTCATTACCTTCCCCAGAAAAGAAGCTCAAGGTGGCCCTAGCCATGTCTTGGAGGGTAAGACAACATTATAAATACATGGAACTTCATGAACAAGCCCTGAAGAGTTACTTCTCCAGGCTATCAACAAAATCTGTTCTGATAAACAGGCAGAGTCAGATGAAAAAAACCCCCAACATTTTATCAATGCAATTTGAATTAAATAAAACCAGTATCAACCCCACAGGAATTAATTTCTGTATTTCCTTGAAAAGTGGTCTTCATCATGATACTTTTCGGTCAGTTCAACACAGCTCCAACATGGGAAGTTAGCAGTGCAAGAGGTGGGCATGAGAGGGAAATAGCTGGGTATACAGAGTACACGGCTTCCCAAAGAAATAATTACATTAAGACATTGGGTCAGAGAGGGAAATACAGTGCATTGGAAACAAGCAAGCAGGGCCTGATCTTTCAAAGATTTAAAATACGCAGCACTTGCTTTCACAGAATTCAGAATTTTCATTTTGCTGATTATAACAGAACCATGCATATGACTAGTTACCTACATGTTTATATATTTGAAATATTAAGAAAGAAGCATGACTCTCTTTTACGGTGTCTGAAGAGCAATACAGAAGTGGCTGCACTCAGAGTAACACTGAGTGTTTCTTCATGTGGGAAAATATCTTTCCATAAAGATCTAATTGGAATTCTACTTACCCGAAAAGATTCAAGTTCTTTCTCAGTGAAATTGGCTGATTTGGCCATGTCCCACAAATCAATCACTCTTGGTTCTTCAAATTCTAAACAAACACATACCACTAAATGAAAATCTGGACACAATGGTTTTATGTCCAGCTTCTATGCAAGATGAGCGTGCTTTCTCACATACATACACACAGATATATGAAGCACTGCATTACTATTCTATTTAGACGAAAAGGAAGAAAACCGCAAGTACTTAACTTAAAACTATAGCATTGCTGTAGCCAGTATTTTTTAAAAAGCAACCCCCCCCAAGGAACTGAGTAATGGTGTTACTTGCCCTGCATATTGTCTCACTTACCTGCCCTCCTGGGGCTGAACGCATAACATCCCTTCTCATGTGGGCATGGAAGACAGAACTATCCTCGTTACAGATTGTCACTATCCTTTCATTAGGCTTCTAGTATTGGCTTCTAAATAGAACAGGCTGGCTGTACCTCTTCAGCCCATTTTGGTCACACCGTGTACTGTGATATTGTGACTACATCTTATTACTTGCCCACTGATTTTTATTTTTTTTTAAATGAAATTGATCCCAAATAAGCATAAAACCCACTGTATCATACCACTGGTTGTGTCATATCCCTGGTGACTGACTTTACGCAAACGTTCAAACCCCTGATTGATGCTTCTTAGCTTGTCTTTGAGCTCTCTGTGTTTGTTGTGCAAGATTTCCTCTTTCACCAGGTTCTCTTCAGATGGGTTGATAACATTTTTGTGGATATCTGTTGAACAAGAAAAGTGTTACCGATTGTGGGCCAAATCCTGATAGGTCAAAAGCTCCAGAAATCCCCCGAATCTGAGGTGAATAAAAGATGATAAGTTCCTAGCATTTGAGCTGAGTGTAAATAAAGCATCAACACCACACTCTAAGAAGCAGTAATTCTTTCTGTGGATCAATATTAAGATCAATGCCCCTCACTGCTCTGACAGGTGATATTACAGAAATGCCTTTTAACTCCTACTGGCCACCAGCCAAGATTCTAGTTCTAGCAAATGTTCTTATTTTCCTAGGTTAACAATATCCCAAGGAAATGGGATAGGGATGACTGATGAGTTCTGTGCTCTCTTCCCCGAGCATTTCATGAACCAATCAGGACATCTGATGTTGAAATGACTTCTAGCAGGTTCCAGCTTGGACTCTGCAAAGCAAGCATCAAACTGCCTATAAGCTTTAGAATACTTTGGGTCTAACGAAATTTTAGCTAGGATTAGTACAGCAAGCTGGTTTCAGATCCTCAGTGCTTTAATACACCTCAGGCTCAGTGCCTAAAATATTCAAGTATATCCTCTTGGGCTCCCAGCTGGTGAGATAAAACATGCATGTTCTGCAGACTTTATGACCACATTTTGCAGCACTGGATCTATGCTTGATGCATAATTTCTGGTAAACTACTATGGCCATCATTGCTAACTTGATGGTATCCTCCCTGCTTGAAATGCAGGCAAAATCAGAAAACTGAAATGGCAACATTTTCATTAGCTTGCAAGATTTTTGGCAGCTAATGCAGAACTAAACCCAGCAAGTATCTGGAAATGTCAGCATCTGCAGGCAGTTCTGACAGAAATGTCAGACTTCAGGAGTTTCAAAGAAATTTGGAAACAATGGAGGCAATGGGCAGAGAAGAGAGTTGTACTGATCTCGAAACATCAGAGAAATGTTCAGGCACCTTCTGTTCTGCTCACGGTCTCCAGCAGAATATTGTATTCACGAATCTTTTCTTTGTGATGCTTAAATTCTCGCCAAAGCTTATCCAGCTCGTCATCAGAGAACTTCCCAGAGGTCTTGGCCTGAAAGAAACATGAGGTTATTATGCCTTCCAGGCCAAGCGCTTTTAAGTGTACTCAACTGCCTAAACTTCCCACCACCTTTAGAAAATTAAGTCCAGCTTGTCCTTAAGATCTTTTGTTTTAAATCCCTTTATATTAGTGTGAGGTCAGGATTTAGACATCAACAGATATGGTGCCTTTAATCATGTCAAAAGGAAGTTTGCTTCAGACTTAAAAAGCTAGACTTGCTATGGACTACCCCGTGAAAAGTGTCTGTCATTTCTATTCCATGGGAAATAATTTAATACAGAAATTAGGGCCACAGAGCTCCATATGCAACTGTACAGGGACTGTTTGCATGAGGGACGCAGCCTGATATTAAGCACAGTCTTTACTTAATCTTACTCTACTGGCAAGTGAAGATTTTATCACTGCTGTGCATTTGCTCTGCAGCGATTTGTTCCTCGCTGGACTACTTTTTAGCAATTAGGGAAGCACTGGTCAGACAACTGGAGCACTACCCACAATTCTGGTGACTTATTTGCTGCCACGCATGATCAAAAGGGACTGTTTTTGATACCTATTCAGCCCCAACCTTTTTTTTTTGCTTAGGGAATATTTCTATCCAATGCTGTTTACTGTTCCCCAAAGCACATATCCCGTCATATCCCTTGCCAGAGCTGTATCTAGTTACAGTAACATTTTAAAACCCAGCAAATCTTTTTCTCTGCTTTACTACCACTGCACTAGACTGATGTAAGAATTCTTTGCTTTACTTGACTACTTGTTTCTTAAAACATGAATTATTTATTTTTTTAAGATTATGAATTCTCCAGTTTTAACTGCCCAGACTGACAGTACACTTTCTATTTTTTATGCATTAACGCAAATCCTGGAAATTTTCACTTGAATACCAGGTTGGGAAAGTCCATTTAACACACCCCACTATACATTTCACTTTTAAACAGTCTATGAAATGGTCCTATTTTAAATGCATCTTTTTAAAAAAGCCCAGAAATAACAATAAGAAAAACAGGAAAAACACCACAGGTATACTACCACACAGTGTAATAGTCACACAAAGGGAAATCATGAGTTCAGTGAAATTTGATGAAAAGCTCTGTTTGTCCTCCATTATCCTCCATGCAGACTGATGCGGCAGAGAACCTGCCAAACCTGGTGACCTAGATGCAGGTGGGATGCCCTCAGGGCACAAAGATGTGAGCTACAGAGCACAGCAGCTTGGCCAGTACTTAAAAGCAGAGTAGTAAAGCTATTTAATTCCAAGTCTGGGGGCTCTCAGAAGAGACAGACAATAGTTCAGTGAAGAAATACTGATTTCCTACACTCCAGTTCCTGGAAACGTTACTCACCTTGCTCCATAATTTTTCCAGTCTTGGATCATCTAGTGTATCACTTTCTGTACCATCTTTAATGTAGTTGGTATCAACTAGTTGAGAGTCCTTCTTTCCATTCATCCCATATTTAGTCATAATGACTGCAAGGGAATAGAAGATACAGAAACATTAGAACCAGCTATGGATGTATGGAAGACGAGAGACTGGCTACATCCTTGAATTGCAGAGCTGGATTTTGCAGCTCACAGTGGAAAAGCTAACAGTTTACGACACAGAGGTCCCAGGTTTAATGACCTCTTCTGAAAACATCTGGAGCAAAGGAATCTGTTAGCCTCCTGCAGCTCCCTGCTGACCTCCAAAGAACTCGTGTGTGCTCAGTGTCTGGAAAGACAACCTGTTATTTAATGGTTCTAACACCAGCACAGGTGTCTAACATGTGTCTGATGCAAAGTTTAAACTCCTCCTGCAAAGATATACCTTACCATTTAAGTTGCGTCTGAGTTTGGCTTCTTTCTCTCCATCTTCATCTAGCCCTTCAGCCTTCAGTTTTTTCCAGCTTAGCTCATCCTTTTCTTGTATTTTTAGATCACTGTGCAACTCTGCCAGTTTCACAGCAGAGAGATGAAGCTAACGGGAACAGAGAAAGGTTTGTATTCAGTTATGTGGAGTCATCTCTTGCTGCAGTGTTACCTCAGAAGCCAGTATAGATGCATAGCCAGTATAGCACAGCATTTTTTTCTTTTACTTTAATGCTGTGTATCCATCTGAATTTAAGAGCCTTAAGGTATGAGCCACTGCATACATAACATCTCTTGCCTATGAACACGACTATGCCCCCAGCATACTGGTGTTAAAAGACAGTGACCACAGAGCCTTCTCTCTCAGCTCTTCAGCTACTTGGACAACAGCGAAATTACGTAAGGGTTAAAAATTTTTGTCTTTCTTTGGTGTTCCTTCAAGTAATATTGAAATGTGTTTTTTCCCCCACTTTTAACAGGACTGCCTTCTAAAAATGATTCTACCTTAAAAATGTCCAGTACTAATAACAAAGAATGTAAAAAAAAAAAAAATTATTAAACCAATTCAGTTTCACTAATTCACAAAAGGCAGTAACAACTAAATTTCTCAAACAACATGCCATTGCCACCACATGTGCTTTCTTGTGGACCACCTTCTAACCATATAGTTATAGTGAGTTGGTAAATTTTATTTGTCAATATGGTTTTGTAGACTACCAGGAAACTGAGGATGGCCTTGCAGGTCAAAGAGCCACTTCATCAGCAATTTTTACTATGATCAAAGTGCAAAATTTTCTAAGATCACTTCTTAACATGGTTTATGTGCATTAAAAACATACAAAACCTAGAGGTATTCCTGTCCCACATAACAGAACAAAAAGATATGATATTGAGGCTGAAGCTATGAAAAAAAAAAAAAAAGATGTAAATGAATGATAGGTCAGCTTGAAATTTTGTGGAACAGAGAAAACAGGAACAGAGACAATGACTAATATGCAGTTGGCTAAGCAGCTCTGCTCTAAGTTGAGTGTGAACTTCTCAACTTCCAGATTTTAAACACTTCAGTTATGCAGTTTAAAACAAAGAAATGTAACAAATCATATTAATGCTTCAGAACTTATTTTGTGTGTATGTGCGTGCACGTTAGTAACAAGAAGGTGAGGTAAGGAAAAGCCCAGAGAAGAGAGGAGATCAAAAAACATGAGCAGTGTGACCTCCAATACAGTTCTGCCTGAGCTGTCTGAGTCCTTCTACCTCCGACCACTGAGCAGCCAGCTCCTGGGAGCTCAGATGCGGCTCTGAACCACCTGGGCTTATCTGTCCTAGGACAAGCTTATTTACTGGAGGGTTTTTTTGGTCATTAAAATCACATTAGATTATAAAAATTCTCATTTTCAGTGAGGAAGAAGTATGTTTAATAAACACAGACTCAGAACTCCGTATTATTTTTAAACATCAGAATGATACTGAAAAGATTCAGCCATTCATTTGAGTGCCAGCAGGTTGTTTGAAAATAACTAGGAAAAATGTTATTATTTTGAGCTAATGCACTGAATTTCTATTGACAGGAATTCAGGAACCTATGCACATTATTGTTTCTGCTTTCAGCATAGGCTGTCCTATTAATTAGTCTTGTGCTTCTGAATATAATTATTTTAATTTTTAAACTACGTTTTTTCCCCTGTATCTTGCACTTGGCTTACTGAAATAATTTACCAAAATCTAGAGTAGTTAGAATCACAGGTAAATATAAAATTTATAGAACACATTAAAACTTCCAATCCCTCTAATACTAAAGCAAAGGAGCATCCCTATTGTCTTCTTTACCATCTGCTTTTGGGGAACTGCTTGATAAAAGCTAAGCACTTAGAAGGAACCGCTTTATTTATGATTTTTAGTATGTGCTAAAGTCACAAAACCTTAATCATGTACTTATTTGCTTTTCTGGAGCAGGATGACCTGGATAGCCAGAGTATCTTTGCTGCAGTGGCACCAAGTAACAATGCGTTGCTCAGCCAGAATTGTGCCCTGATGCTTCAGGAGGAAGACTGAGAGAAAAGTTTGCTATAAGTTGTGAAGGAAATGATCAATCATCTCAGTAGTTCTGTATTCTAATGCCAGCATTCAAGTAGCGTGGACTTAATATGTAGTTAGGCTGAGCAAATCCAGGAAAAAAATCACCAGCAGTAACTTAGATAATAATTAATTCTGCTCCTAAGTACTGCAGAAGTAGGAAAACACAACCTTTTAAATGTATGACTTTATCATCAGAGACACACTACTGTATAAAAGATTACAACAATGCAGTTTATGTTAGATACTCTCTGCAGTTAGTGCAATCTCATAAACACATACAGTTTTGTGTTTTCTAGCAGTTCCAGAAAAGAATATCAGAACTTCTAAACATAAACTTTGGAGACATACCATCATCAATCAAACATTTAAAACTCTTAATAAAAACTACGGAACTACATTAAGCCCATTGTTCCTTAAGGGAAAAAAAAGAAAGAAAATTTCTCCCAATTCTATGGATATTTTTCTGATTCTCATTACAATTTAGTATGAAACTCAAGCAACTGTCCTTTTAAACATTATAAATCCTTTGAAACCTGTTGGAAGCCCCTTGCCTGTCCCATTTATATAACACAAAAGTGAATACATAGGCTAATATAAAGTATACAGTTCAAGAACTGCTTCCTTCAAGATCATATTATGTAGGACCCTGAATGCCACCTGGTAAAAGAATGTCAAAAGGTAAGACCCCACATAACTTTACTAACATCAGTCATATGTTGGAATAACTAACTAGAAGCAGAGATGAAAAGCTAAGTTTAATGATTAAATAACAAAGCACCAAGTTCCTTACGCTCATTCCTTATGCTGCCTGGACATTAACATCCAAGATGGGTATCTGGCAATTCTGGGAAGGAGCACTAGAAATCTGTGAAACATTACAACAATTAAGTTGTTTGCTGTTTACCTGGCTACAATCATTACCTGCAATATCATTACCTACACCTTTGTTTCTGAGAGGAAAGGGTTCTTTAATACAATTTTTTTAGGTGTAACATGCCCTAAATTCTGGAGCCCACTGTTGCTTTGGGATGGCCAGGAAGCCCCGGTCACAAGCGATGCCAGAACTACACCAATGGCCACAACCACCACACCGCGGATTGTTAGAGACTAGCAGGCCAAACCACGCATCTTGTGAAACCTACATAGTATTTGTCATTGCTTCAAATAACTATAGAATTAGGGTCTGACTAAGAAGAACTCTTGGATTAAAATAACTTTTTAAAGTTTTTATATAAGACATATACCTATGAAAAGAGATGCTGGAGAACCATCAAATGCTCCCTCCCTCAGGGAAATAGGAAGGAATTCTGGCTTGCCTGCTCCTGGTTCCCATTAATTAACATTTTGGGGGTTTCTGAAGGACTGTCCATCCAGCTGTGTGTTGCAATGTTGAATTGCCATATCCATCTTTTATGTCAAAACAAAGGAGTTCCTTATTTTCAGTACTATCTTCACCACTACCAAAATGAAGGAAATAGAGTTCAGCATTGGCACACACAAATATTTCAAAGCAGATCTAACACACAAGCAGAGTTTTCTTCTTATTTCAGACCTTGCCGAGACATACTGAAAAATCACTTTCTAAGAGACAGGCTGGGTGTCAGTTGTACTCAAAAGTGAAATTTAGATGGTGGCAAATTTAGTTCAAGTAGGTGCTCCCTCTCTAAAAACTGGCTCACACATATAGAATTTACTAAAGCTTAGTTCTTTACTCTGACAGAGTTAACTTCATTTTACATTTTAGCATCTTAACATAGGTGATGTAAAGCATCTCAAATTTGAATTCCAGAAGATCCAGGTATGAAAATGAAAAAAGACTGTAATTGGAAAAATAAGAGGAAACTGACAATACTATCATTATAGTTTATTTCAGGTGTCCATGTATGTTTCTTCTTCAGCTGTCAGTTTACAGCTGGAGTTTCATTATCACACAGTGCCCTATCCCCCATCCCATCCTTCTCCCATTGAGGTAAGGAGTTATTTTTGATGTCTTCTTTTGGCACGCTGGGAGGCAGCATTATGGCAGGGCTTCTATCTTTTGACTAAACCCAGGGATGTGTTGCCTCTAATTCAGTAGCTCAGGCAGGTGAACATCTATCCAAGATACAGGAAATCCAGAACTAATATTAGCTCTATTCCTTTGCCTGAAGTAAGTGAACCTTCTACCAGCCATGACCCTAACTTCCATGCTCCACAATATTCAGGGGATGAATATGGGTGTGCGGTGTGCTCCTCCCCTCCTGCTGGAGCTGTTCTGTTAGGCTGTAACTAAATATTTCCACCGTAATTAAATATTTTTACTGTATTTTTTAATTAATTAATTAATTAATTTTATTTAATTAAATATTTGTTTAGCTCAGAGTGAGTGAAAGTCAAGTATCACTGTCAAAATTAAGGCTCTCATCTGGGAATGGCGATACCCATTTGCTGGTCCTCCTGCATGTGACTACATCACTTGCTATAAATGAAGGTGACATAACCAACAAGGTGGAGGGTTTCTTACTCTCCTGTGCAGTGAGCTCCTGTCCTGTGCAAAGTAGGAACTAAGGCTACTGCCTTCAGACACGATGAGAGGATCATGTTCCTTACCAAAAGGGCTAATGCATTTGACCAGGAGTGCAGAAGCCAGTCTCGGATCCTCCATGGTACCAGAGGGACTTCACTCTCTCTTCCACTTCCTGGGCATGTGGTTTAACGGCTGGACTTAAACATGGGAAGATCAATGCTTCCCATGACACAGATACATATGGCAGGAAAGGGGAAGGAGATACCTCCTGAGACAAGACCTTACACAGCACCGCTGTTCCCAGCCGCCTGGGTCAGCCCTCAGGGAGCGGGGCTGTGTGGGTCCTGCTCTGAGCTGCCCGTCAGGGGCAGCCAGGCCTGAAAACCAAACAAAAGCCACCGCAGCCCAGAGGCCCAACACCAAGCCGGGGCCTGTCGGGGCGACGCCGGGCCGGACAGCCTCGGTTTCTCCTCACACGCAAGTCCCCCGCTCCAACCGACGCCCGCGCCGCTTCTCCCGCCGCACGCCACCTCCGGAGGCGGCTGACGGGGAATGAGTCAAGCCCGACCGTGGGTCCCCCTCAGCGCTCTGCCAGAGCACACCCTCGGAGCTCCGCCATCGTCGCCACTCCTCCGGCGCCGCCGCACTCACCCGCTGCGCCTTCTCCCAGACCTGGTTCAGCCTCACCACCCGGAACTCCCCAGCCTCCCGCCGCTTGGCGCCGGCGGCCGCCAAGCCCTCGTTGGCCTCCCGAGAGTACTTGCTGGCCGGGATGCCAGCGGCAAGGAGGAGCGCGGCACCGACAGCCGCCAGAGCCCGCCGCGCCGCCATGTTGCGCTGGACGGGGAACTACAAGTCCCGAGATGCCGTGCGGCTTCCCGCCCTTCAGCCCCTAGGCGGGCGGCCGCTGAGGTGCGGGCTCCGCGCCCTCCTCGGCGAGAGGCGTTTGTGTAGGAAAACAGGCTGAAAGTCCAGTTTAGGTCGTAGCATGAGAAGAATTACGTTTGGGCTGTTTCAATTCAAGCGGCTCCGTGTCATTCTCCTGAGTGTTTGCTTCACAAAAATGTGGAAATATGCTGAATGTGGCAGGGGTTTGAGTGTTTTTTTCTCGCAGCCTGTCAAAAACTAAGGTGAATGTTCTCCTGCACCCTCTGCGTCTCTCAGCGAGGTGTTGCTATCAGTTGTGTGAGGAAAAGGGGACACGATGGGTTTCAACACCACCCCTTTGATCAAACAAAGTTTTCAGATATTAGCACAATGTTCAAGAGTATACAGAAAAACAAAAGGCAGCTCAGGAAAGGTGGAAAGCGAGAATGGGGACCAGTTCCCCAGTTCTCCCTGTGAGGGGAAGGAGAACTCTGTCCTCCCTCAGAGGTGGTAGTGGAGGACACCTCTGCCCAGGACAGCCCATAGGGTTTGATGGTGTGGGGAGAAGGAGGATTGTGAGAAATCTGATAATGAGTGGATTGGGTTGTTATTGAGGGGTGAACTGTGGGAATGGCCCTGAGGTCGGCGGTGTGTGCTGAGAGTGCAGCTCTTGGGCACGAGCACCCTGTCCTGCATGGTGCCAAGCCCCCTTCGCAGTGCTTCCTCCTCAAGTAGGCAGCCAAGAAGTGCTGTAGGCAACAGGAAATCTTTGGAGGTGATTAAGTCAAGCTGTATTAAGAAAAAAACCCATGATGCTGTGAAAATGTCCAATATTTCATCCAGGGTTCGTATATATCCTCCCCGGTTTTAAAAAAAATCCACTAAAATTGAATGCTGCTATGAAAGAAGTGCAGGAGATGCAGAGCACACTCCATGTGGGTGTTTCTGAGGGGAAGGTGGTGAAGAAAGCTGTTCCTTGTCTTCTTGATGAATCGTCTTCTGCACACTGCAAAGCTTGTGTAGCATGGGGTCTTTGGCATAGCTAGGCATTTCTGTGCTGAGTTTGTTTAGCAAGCTAGTGGTGGGGTTGCTTTCCTGAGCCTAGCTGGTGGTGGAGGCAAAAGTTCCTTCATAAATTCACCTCAGATCTCATGTGTGACCTTGAGCAAATTGAAGTGTAGCTCTGTAGTACTGTCAAAACCAAGCCTTCACGCATTATAAATCAGTCCTATGAAAACAAATAGGTTGCCTAAACTATAATGAGATTTCTGAAAACAATGCCCTGGGGAGGATTTTTACTGGACCCTCATTTTTGCCTTGTAAGCAATAGAAACCCTCTTGAATTGTCTTTTCTGCATTTTCCTAAGTCAATGCAGAGATTCTCAGTCATATGAACCTAGAAGCTGTTGCTATAAGACTAAGTTGCAGAAGCAGGCAAAAGTATTGCAGTATACATTGCATTGAAGAGCAATTGAAGTGAGCATTGAAGTATACATTGAAGTATAGCGAAACGATGACGGGAGAAGCAGCTCATCAGCCTTACCCATATCTTGCAGAGCTCTCCACATCAATTTTAGGATTTAGAGCTTGTTTTATTCTCATTATTACAGTGTATTTATGTATCGTTGAGTCATTTTGGAACAGATGGTTTTGTCTTGTCTGTCATTTGAAGTATTGATTGAGTTTTCAGGCTCTCTGCAAATAAATTCAATCTCCATGCTATATAAACTCTTACAGGTTCCCATTTTTTTCTTGTATTGAGCGTAGTTATGCAGAGCTTTGTGCATTTGTTTGCTTGAGTTTTTGAGCTACACTGGGAAAATTTTTAGAAATAGGTAAGGGATGCAGCACCATTAGTTTGCTTATGCTGGCTTGTTGGATCTCATTCTCCAGTGCCCTTACATCTCTGTCGTGACCACTGCTTGGTATTGTTCTGTATGTCCTGGCCCAAGTGCTTCACTCCCACAGGTAAAAAGCCAAAATAACTCTATGGACTTCTGTGTAGAGACTTTGGATTTACGTTGGTGTTGATGAGGCCAAACTCGTCATGGAGTGCACCTTAGTGTAAATAAGAAACACGCAGTGGGAGGTAATGGGAAATCAACTCCGTCACTTCCCTTTCCTGTGCACTTTGAGTCAAATTCTCCCTTCATTTTTCCCTAGTACAGTTGAAAAGCAGCTCAGCTGAATCCCCAGGACTGTGCCAAAACTGATACAAGGAGCCGAAGTGTTAAGCTGTTGTGGACTCTATTGTTTGCATTGTTCCAGAGGGCTGTAGCTGAGTTGATGGACCATCGCTTTTTGTGTATTCATTCTTTATTATCCTTATTAAAAAAAGAAACATTAACAAGACGTGATGTAGACCACATTCAGAATTCTGTCTTCTGCCCTCTGCTTGCTTGAAAAACGAAGTTAGAGGAATTTGGAATGAGAGTGATGTTGCAAAGCAGTAAAAAGATCAGAGAAAGTCTTAGTTAAAAGAAAAACAGAAGAAAGTCTAATAGCATTTATGGAACAGTGCAGGGTTCCCAGGAGAATAAAAGAGAGGAGGATTTTGAAGCTTATGTTCAGAGGCTTGAAGGTGATTTAAATTGCATTCTTCTGAGTACAGCGTCAGGAGATCTTTTCCTTTAAGAGTCAGTGTAAGAGCTGGACCAGCTGCTTCTGGCTTCAGTTTTACCAAAACCAGTTCACCATTGAATTTGTGCCTTCACGTATTCTATATACATCTAAAATTTTTTTGCGAGTGATATAAACTGCCCAGCATTTCAGATACTCTGTTGCAGAGCTCTGGAAATGACAGCAGTTGTTGCCTTTCTCACCTCCATCTTCTATCCTAGCCACGTGGTGTGCAGGCTGAGCCTAGCCAGCCGAGATTGTCTAGAGCACAAGCCTGAGGGAGCTGGGGTTGTTTAGCCTGGAGAAGAGGAGGCTGAGGGGAGACCTTATCGCTCTCTACAGCTCCCTGAAAGGAGGTTGTAGCGAGGTGGGGGTTGGTCTCTTCTCCCTAGTAACAAGCGATAAGACAAGAGCAAATCACCTCAAGCTGCGCCAGGTCAGGTTTAGGTTGGATATTAGGAAAAACTTCTTCACCAAAAGGGCAGTCAGGCACTGGCACAGGCTGCCCAGGGAAGTGGTTGAGTCCCCATCCCTGGAGGTATTTAAAAGACGGGTAGACGTTGGTGCTCGAGGACATGGTTTAGTGGTGGACTTGGTAGTGATAGGCTAACGGTTCGACTCGATGATCTTAAAGGTCTTTTCCAACCTTAACGATTCTATGATTCTATGATTCTAAGATGCAGGGCAGGTCGGATAAGTGCGGCGGGTTTGCAAGGGTGCTGCTGGCTTTGTCCAAATATGCCCTCGCTCGGCCTCCCCAGGACCCTACTGAGGGTCCACTGAAGTGATGTCTGCGAGCCTTTTGCAAACAGTACCTCTCCCAAAGTACTTATATGTCTTTGTCCCACTGCCTTTCACCTTTCAAAGCTCCATTTGATCAGTAATAAACTGACCTGCCTAACTCTTTATTTGGAGAAAGTTCTCATTCTCCAAACCCTAATCCTAATTGTCCTCCCAGCCAGAATATAACCCAAGACAGGTTTATCTATGTTAAAACAAAAAACATACTGTTTCCAACTAAATCCCTCATTCTACTTGGCTGTGCAGCCTGCAGTAAATATTTTTTATGATTCTACTTCCAGAAGTGTAAACCCAACCATAACAGTAACACTGTACAGAAACAGACTGGAGTTGTATTTTGCAAAAATGAAATCCCCCAACAGCCTGCTTTCTCTTCTAAGGCATGTTTCTCACTCGACTTCTCCAAAGCCAACACTTAAGAGTTTCTATATTGTAATTTACATTGAATCGTAGAATCCTAGGATGGATTGAAAGGGACCTTCAAGATCATCTGGTTCCAACCCCCCTGCCATGGCCAGGGACACCTTCCACTAGGCCAGGTTGCTCAAAGCCCCATCCAGCCTGGCCTTGAACACTGCCAGGGATGGGGCATCCGCAGCTTCTCAGGGCAACCTCTTCTAGTGCCTCACCACCCTCCCAGTAAAGAATTTCTTCCTAATATCTACTCTAAATCTACCCTCTTTCAGTTTAAACCGTTACCCCTCATCCTATCACTACACCCCCTGATCAAAGTCCCTGCCCGTCTTTCCTCTAGGCCCCCTTTAAGTACTGGCATGCAGTTATAAGGTCTTCACCGGGGCTGCAGGGTCCAGGGCCACCAGCACTCACCCCTTCTCCTCTGACTGCTCCCGTCCTGCTGGGCACAGGCACTGCTCAGTGTTGCAGGAGCTGTGCCACCGGTAGTGGTTGTCAAAGACCCCGTCCTCCTCCCAGGCAGCATCCCTGTGGAAGCCGGTGAGCGCTCAGCCCCAGGGGCAAGGGGGACCCCCTGCTGGCACCTGGGGAGGCAGGAGGGGACTGGCACCGTGGAGTGGGAGGGAGGCAATGGGGACGGCGCCAGCCTGTCAGGAATTTTGATGCTGAGGTGAAACATCTCCTGGAAGGTCTGTGTGTCCTGGCAGAGCGGGCAGCAGAAGTGCTGCCGGGCAGAGTGCAGTGCCTGGCCCTAGGGCAGAGCTGGCATCAGCGGCGGGGGGGTCCCGCTTGCTCCCCCGGAGCTGGGCGATGGGCTGATGACAGGGGCGATGTCAGGGGCGGGGGGCGATGCTGCCTACCTGGATGCAGCGGCGGGGGAACCAGGCACTGTGGCAGGTGGGACAGACCAGGGTGTCATAGCAGGGCCACCCTGCCACCGCCTCCTGGCAGCTGAGGCAGGGGATCTGGTCCTGCTGCACTGCCTGCACCCGCTGCACTTGGCCAGTGCTTCCAGCAGAAGGACCTGCAGGATGGAGGTGACAGGTCAGCCCCAGCCCTCCTCCACCCTGGCCCCGGATCTGGCCTTGTGGGGTGGCTGCACGCACTTGAACTCCCTGAAAAGCTGGGAGATGCGGCATTGCTCGCTGCCACAGGGGAAGTGGAAGTTTTGGGGGCATCGCCGGCTCTGGCAGGTGACGGAGGCACCCCACAGCTGGCAGATGCAGCACCTCTGGGGATGGCACAGAGGCAGCAGGCGTCAGCGCCGCATGCCCCTGGGGAGCCTGGTTAGCCCTTGCCCAGCATAGCCCCATGACATTTCAGTAGGCCACCTGGCCAGTGACACCAGACCACTGATAGAGCCATGTACCCTCTGAAAATCCCCAATTTCTGCAGAAATGGACCTTTTTGGATAAATGAGGATCTGGTGAGTTACTTGCAGATGGCTGCCAGAACATCCCTGGGGGGGCTGCTGGCCTGTGCAGCACTGGCCATGGGGCATGGGGACCACTGTGGGAACATGCTCCCCCCTGGCCTCATCTTCTTTGCCACTCGCTTCAGCTCCTGCCAGATGTCGGGGAAGAGGAAGCTGTAGAAGCTGTCTTCCTCGGCCCCTCTCTGGCTCAGCCCGCTGGCATAGTACTGCCAGAGGGGAAAAGAAGGTGTGTGCCGGGGGCTGTCGGCAGTGCGGGGCTGGGCACCGGGGCTGTCAAGCCCTGGGGACTCACCAGGAAGTTCTTGTGGATGCAGAGCCTGTCATGCTGGCACAACTCCCCAATGACCTTGAGTCACAGTCAGCCTGCTGGCATGGCCAGCACACTGCCGGGGACAGTGGCACCGTCACCCCCAGCACCACACCAGGGTGCCAGTGAGGGTGACGCTGGGAGCGGGATGGGGGATTGGCTAGAGCACCTTCCTGTGATATGGGGGCCTCTGCTTGTGCAGTTGGGCACTGGCCAAAATCCCCTCTGGCAGGTGTCTGCGGGGTTGCTCTGCACTTACTTTCCTCCTTGGGGACCTGACGCTTCGTTTGCAGGGGGGAGGCGCACAGGAGGGTCCTGCCTGCTCCTCCAGCAGTGCTGTGGGACAGTGTGTGTGTGGGGGGCTGTGGCACCGTGCAGCACCAGGACCTCAGCTCTGTCACCGCAAGGGGCTGTAGTGAAGGAGATGGCTGGGCATGGGGACATTGGTTTGGTTGAAGACTGTCCTGATCCTCCAGTGTTTGAGGCAAACACATCACTGAGCTTGTGGTGGGTGCCCAGTGGGGCTGCCCAGCCTGGGAGGTTTGTGACTTGGCTCTGCACATGCTGTGTGGGGAGGGCCCCCAGAAACGGGCAACCCCCAGGCGAGATGCTGGCGTCACCCCACAGGGATGTCTGGGTCATGCTGGGAGGCAGGAGCTGACCGTGGGCTGGGGAGGGGGAAGAACCACAGGAGCTGCCATGGGTCCAAGGCCACCCTGCCCAGGGGGGAACAGTGAAACCAGGGCATGGGAAGGGCAAGGGGGTCCCCGTGGATCCCTTATCTCATGTTGGGGCTCCAGCAGGGACTTCAGAGACACCCAAAGGGTTTGATAATCCGGACACTTTATTTAAGCATCAAAAATCATGACTACTTATTAACAGGCATGTTGATACCTTTGAAATAATTTTTATATTTTCAGTTTCTTAGCAAACAAAATTTAGTTATGACAAATGTATGTCAATTAGAATAAATTTTCCCGTGGAAGAAGGATACAGCTCAAGCACTCTGTTGTGCGTCTGGTGCCGGGGGCTGAGCCCGCTGCGCTGGGCTGGCAGTGGGGAAGCATCAGTGCTCCAGAATCTGGAAGTGCTTCAGATACTTCTGCACCCAGTGCGCCTCGGGGTCTGCACAGATCTCATTCCCCCTATTGGTGACCAGGCTGCCAGGAGAAAACCAACGTTGGGGCGCTCGGCCAGGGCAGCGGAGTGCCTGAGCTGAGTCCCACTGGCAGCGCCCCGGGTGTCCCTGGCCGTGCCCCCTTCCCCTTCCTGGCCACCCTTGGACAGTCCTGAGGCACTGCCCTGGCTGTCACACCCTGACCCCAGGTGGTGCTGGACACTCACATCACTGCTGGCTGGATGCACTTGCTGCTGGTCTGGTAGGCGGTGATGATGTTGCTGCGCCGGATGGGGCGGTGCATGTAGGCGAAGCAGCAGGTGATGGCGCGGGTGCCTGTGGGGGCAGAGAGACAGCCCCAGTGAGACCCCACGGTGCAGTAGAGGCTCTGCCTGGGGCTCCCAGGGGATTCGCCATCACCTGGGCTGTATCCCCTGAGGACACCCTGGAAGCCTCCATCCCTGAGGCTGAGTCCCAGCACTGGTGATGACCACCTGCTCCCAGCCCTCCCCATGGACACGAGGATCCCGTCAATGGGGACAGGGCTCTCTCCGGCGGGGGGACAGCAAACCTGGCTTCTGGGAGGATGCAGCAATGCCGGAGTCACTGCGATGGGCCTTAGCTGGGGAGCAGATGGCCACGAGGAGCAGAGCAGCCAGGGCGGTTGCAGGGACCTTCATGGTGCTGCGGGGACCAAAAGAACCAGGAATGAGGTTGGAGCTGGGGTGGCTGCAGAGCTCTCCTCTGCACGATGCTCGGCCCCTGCTGCTGCTGACCTCCTTTTATCCCCCGGCCGCTGGGTGGGCTCAGGGTTTCAAGGAAAGTAAATGCGTGCGTCATACTGGGGAAATTGTCAGCATTGCCTGGTTTCGCTGAGCTGGAGAAGGCAAGGAAAGCATAGAAGGGGAAGAGCCAGCCATAGGGCCGTGACTTTCAAGAGAGAACAAGAGAGAACGAAGAGTGGCTGAGGGAACTGGGGTTGTTTAGCCTGGAGAAGAAGCAGCTCAGGGGAGACCTTGTCGTTCTCTACAGCTCCCTGAAAGGAGGTTGTAGTAAGGTGGGGGTTGGTCCCTTTTCCCAGATAACAAGTGATAGAACGAGCAGAAGCGACCTCAAGTTGTGCCATTTAGGGGAGGTTTAGACTGGATATTAAGAAAAATTTCTTCACTGAAGGAGTTGTCAAGCATTGGAACAGGCTGCCCAGGGAAGTGGTTGAGTCACCATCGCTGGAGGTATTTAGAAGATGTGGCGCTTAGGGACATGGTTTAGTGGTGGACTTGGCAGCGCTAGGTTAACGGTTGGACTCAATGATCTTAAGGGTCTTTTCCAACCTAAATGATTCTATGATTCTATTCTATATGACCTTCATGGTGCTGCGGGGGCTGAGGGAGCCACGAGCGGGGCTGGAGCTGGGGCGGCTGCAGAGCTCTCCTCTGCACAATGCTCGGCCCCTGTTGCTGCTGCCCTCCTTTTATCCCCCCAGAGTTTGAAGGAAAGAAAATGAGTGCATCATACCAAGGAAATTATGTTGGGATCACCCAGTTTTGCTGAGCTGGAGAAGGCAAGGAAACTGCAGACGGGGAAGCACCAGCCACAGGGCTGTGACTTTCAGATTCCATTTGGGTGCCTGGTAGGGACTGGCCAGAGCCCAAACCCCTGCGACACCAACCCTGCCGCTGCTGCAGTGACCGCGCTGGCCAAGAGCCAGGCTGGGGCATGAAGCTCCGTAACCAGACCCCTGAGGAAAACGTGAGCAAGGCCAGAAAAAGGAAGAAAAAGGAGGAAGTAGCAAGTTTTGCAGCTTTCTTTCTGAGTGTGCACTGGCTTACCCTCTGGGATTGCAAGTGCTGCCCCTTTTCAGTCACGCTACGATCTCCTCGAGGTTTCATCTGCAAGGCTGCAATGAGCTGATCTCAGTGGGTGCCAGCAGAATCCTCTCCTCCCTCCAGCTCCTACTCTTAATGCCCTATCTCCTCCTTGACACCGGTGTATTTGCTTTTTTTGGGCTAAGCCAGTAGAGAGAGCCTAAAATGGATGAAGTTATCCTGCTTGGGAAGAAGTGGGCAAGCAGTAATTGCAACAACTTGACAACTTCAAATACATTTAGGACATTTTTATGTAGGGTAGGCAAACAATTTTGAAGCTACAGTATCTGGACTTGTTTGTTTGTTTGTTTTTTTGTAGGCTGCTTTTGAGGTCATGGTCCTTTTTAGTTAAGATAGAAGCTGCCCTTTGACTGACCTTTTACATTGACATAATATAATAAATAAATCTAAATTATCTAAATTAGACAAGTGTGTCCAAACTATAAAAGCAATAATAATTGGCTCTTGGCTATGATATATATGTATAGTTATAGTCCCATTCAGAAAGATGCACTACAAAACTCAATGAAAGTTTTGAGAATGACAAGCAATTACAAATCCTAAATTTCTTGATTAGGATTAGTTATCAGGCACCTATATATCTGTGCTATAACTATGCTTTTTCTCATTTAGACGAAGGTTAATCTAGGTCCCAGCGCTATTCAGTGCTTTATTAAATGAACCACATCGTAGCAAATATCTTGGACAGGTGCTCAATCAAAGACTAACTTTTTCTTCCCTGTCCATTTGGAAGAGAAGCAATAGTATAATGCCTTTCTAAAGAATGTAGCAGCAAACAAGAAAAATAAGCTCAGGTACTATCCAATTCAAAAGTTCCCCCAGTTACAGATTTCTGTACAGTTCTGCTCTCATCTACGAAGTCTAGCATTTTCTACTTTATGGATTTTGTTCGTTTGTTGTTTTTTTTTTCTTTTAGCAGTCGGCCTTATATCTATAACAAACTCACACCTTTGTGATTATTAAATATTACAGAATTAAAATAGAAGAATATATAAATGAGTCTTCAAATAATCAAGGTTTGCCTGTAGCTTCATCTGAGAGACCACAGTACCTTTGCATACCAACATCAGTCCTGGTACATTGCCTATTTTTGATAGTGGGTAAATAATACTGTTTCGGTAATAACCACTCTGGACTTCACTCTCCTGAACATCTTGACGTTTTCCCTTGGTTTTATGTGTTAAATAACAGAGTTTAGCCGAGGTTGATCTAAGATAACTGGAGATCCTCCATCTACGGGTTAAAATCAGCTGTCTTGTTCTGCAAGAGAGTATACAGGCTCCCTAAATGACAAGATTTGGTCTCAAAGAAGTATAAGAAATGTGATGGGAAGGCAAAACTGGCTTGAAAGCATCTGTCTGTCCCATTTTAATGGTGGCGGCAAACCAAAGCTTCCTGTGGTACGTGTCACAGCAGTTAGCTACAGCCTGATCTTGTGAAGAGCCACAAATGTACCTGAACACCATGTATAATCCTACTGGCTCTGCTTGCATCTGCAGGATTTTATTTGTATTTTGGATTAGGTATTAATAGTTTAAAATCTTTTTTTGGCCAGGTCCATGCTGGTAAAACACTCTTGGGTTAATATCAGGAATTGATAGCACAGGAACCTTCCAAATCAAGATGGCTTTGGAGATGCCTGACTGTCTTTTCTCAGCTGGTGACACAAAACCTTCTCTGTGTCTGGTGTCTGCCTCTCAGTATGGTTTTGTAAACATGGAGGGATCCTCTTTCTTCTTTTACTTTCTTTTAGTAACAGAAGAGAGAGCATTGTTCTGGATCTTATACATTCATTTTCACAGAGATATATAGTTCCTTATACTCTAATTCACCTTAAATTAAAGAGCACTTACTCAGGTGTGGTTTAGGTTTTCGAGGACAAAACAGTCAGAGATATGTATCTGGACTAACTGAGCTGAAATCTCTCATCAGAGACACAATCCTGTTTGTCAAGGGATTAAGCCCATTCCTTCGCTCTGTGCTGTTCTGTAGATCTCAGACCAAGGTCAGAGTCAGCTTTTAGACATCAGTTTTGACTACTGCAGCAGGGCTAACAGGACCTGGATTCCTCTGATATTCCCTTAAGGAGTCTGCGGTAGCTCACTGTGATGGAAAGTCACAGTTGTCTTAAAAGCACTTTACACACTCAAAGGACCCAGAGGCTCACAGCTGTACCTGAGACATTGTAAACCTTCCTTCTCTGTGCAAACTCCATTTGCAGCTCAGAGAAGCAGTCTGCATCTCAGCATCTGTCTCTGTGATTCTCTGCATGGGTGACTTTCAGTTCCCTGTCCAAGCAAACCCAGATAATGTGTCCTTTTCCAGCACTGGAAGTTTTAGGTCTGCTTTGTTCCAGGTCTGAATCATGGGAAAACTACTCTGTTGTAGTGTGGATGAAACCATTCTGGTTTGGTTTTTTGGTTGTGGTTTGGGGTTTTTTTTTTGTTTGTTTTATAATTTTGTTCATTTAAATTAAGTTAAGCTCTGTAACTGTTTTCTTTTTCTGAAACAGCTTCTTTATTTTCCTTGGATTCTGTTCTGTGCATTCAAGCAGCAAGTTAAACAATGTCAAACTGAAGAAAATGAATTGCATAACATGCTGAAAAGATGAACTGGGGAAATGTTTGTAATTACATTAACTTCTTACCTGTGTCCTTAATGTGAATTACTGGAACGTCAAAGAGAATTAACCAGCTTGGAATTTATTTTTAAATACCTATTCTTATAAACTGGATCCTTTCTTCTATGCACCTAGTTTTTAGTGAAAGAAAAAAGCAAGTGTTGGTATAATATTATTGCAAAACCTCTCTCTAGAGTAGTTAATTCTCCTAAGTGGTAACAGCTTTCTATTGCTGTTTCTTACTGAAATGACTTCCTTAGCTAAACTGTTTAGGGCTGATGCTAAAGGTAAGTGTATGAAAACCTGCTTATGAATTCCGCCCTTCTAGAAAGGATCTTTGTGGCTGATTAAAGTGAACCTTGCCTTGTTTTGGGAAGAAACAAAGTACTCACTGGCATTCTTGGCTGTTTGTTTTAGTGCTCCTGACTACAGCTCTACATAACTTCTGGCTGCTGTGGGGAACCCAGCTTTCCTTTTCATCCAGTTCCCAACGCGTCTTCATAGGCTCGCTCTTTCTTATTAAGTGTGGAGGGGATAATAAGGATTTTTTAGATAGAATCTTGACTTGTTTCAATGAGACAGAGTTTAGGTACTGAATAAACTCAAGCTTGAAATGAGAGGTGGTTTCTCAAGCACTCAGAATCACAGAAACCATCTTTGTTTTATAATCCTGGTACCAGTGTGGACTTTACTGTTGTGAGACTACTTGCATTTTTAATATTAAGTGTATAGGTAATTTTTTAATAGAATATGGGCTGTAAATTATTAGTATAAAATAAACAATGAATGTAAAATAAAGAAATATAGTGGTTTGGGGTATCTTACCTGCCAGTGAAATGCAGCTCCTCTCTGAGATGAAGCCCATCAGTGCAACTCATGGTTGGGTCTATTTCAATAAAAAATGCAAGAGCAGTTTAGTGAAACAGAACACGAAATAACAAAAAGGATTCTGAAAAATTCCAAGTGCATGTCCTTGAATACCATATATTTAAGTGCTGTATTTTTCGCTCATAAAACCATTACAAATAATTAATTGTAACACTGTTCCTCCTGAATGATCCTCTCTTTAACTCAGCAGTGCAGTATAGAAACAAACCTGACAGGCGTGCTCCTTTACATCAGTTTTGTGTCAGAGTAACTGTGGCCTTTTTTGTCAGGAATTTAGTTAAGAACC